TATATATATATAAAAAAAAAGTACATTAGAAAATCATTGAAAAAAAAACTTCGTATCAAAAGGCCTTTGTAAAAAATTCTTTTTACTATTATAAACAACGTAAAATATAAAAATTTTTCTTAATTTTTCCTAAAAATATAATTTTTTTTTTCGCAAATACTTGATTTAAGCATCATAACTAAATAAAAATTACGCGATTTATAATTTTTTTTGAGGAGAATTTTTTTTTTTTTTTTTTCTCAAAAACCGCTTAAACAAGCAACGATAAACATATCGGCGCATTCCACTTTATTACATTGTCTACGCGAAGCGAAGAAGAAAAGGAAAAGCATAATTTTTTTTTTGCGTTCCGGATACGAAGGAAGCGAAACGCCAACTATTGGCTGAAAGACGTTCGAAAACGTAACTGAAAAATATCAATTATAAAAGAAAAAAACGTCAAAGAGATAACAAGAAAAAATAAATAAAAGGAGAGAGAGGATTTTATCATCAGCAGAGAACGTGTATCTAAAAAGAACAACATCAACCAAATAAAAAAAACCAATTATTAACTAAACAACAACAGCAACAGATTTACGCGAACAGCAAGAACATGGTAAGTAGCGGCAATGTCATATATAGAGCGGCAATATATATATATATATATATATATATATATGTTGAAGGAAAATTTTCTTTTTAGACATGAAAAAAAACAAAAAAAAAAAAACAAAATTTTTACTTTTATTTTACTTCAAAATATTGAAAAACAAAAACAAAATATTCTAAATGCAAGTCAATTTTTATTAAAACAACAACAAGAAGAAGAAATGAAAAAAAAAAAAAAAAAAAAAGCGAAGCAAAAATCCAAATCGCATATTCAGCATCTGTTCTCCGCAGCCGAGCTACGAGACACTACGTGGTTTGAGTGTTGTGACTTTATTTGGTTAAAATTTTTTGATTTAAAAATTTTAACGTGTGGGCCGCTATAGAGTTTAAAATTTATTTCCATTAACAAAAATATAACATATAACATATAACATATAATGCAATTCGTCTGTAGGCTATATAACTTCATAATCAAAAATGCATAGCAGCTAACCTTACGCTTTTTCTTGTATAAATTTTCCATATAAAAAAGTTTTTTTTGTTTACGAGACATTTGAAATCAATGTCGTAAAAACATGCTTAAAATTGCAATTTCAATGAGTCTTTAATTGATTTATAATGGCTTGAAGAGCCCATTATAATATATATATATACCCCTATTACAAAGCATTTCGAGATCTTAATTTCGAATATCGGTTCGAATCGCATTGTTTGTTACCAATTAATGCAAGAGAACTTGTAAGAGAGATTGTGTTTGATGCTTGTTCTCGCCTATTAATACAAGACAGAACGAGAAAAGGGAATCAACACACACACATACGCACACACTAAAACAAAAGTATAAATTTAATTTTCGGCATCTTTACAATTCCCAAAGATTAGAACTCGATAAGGATTAATCATACAACCAATACAGACGATATTCATATAAACGATACGATTTCAAATTGCCTTCACGCCTAATTACCGGTCGCTTCGCTTAGAACGTAATAATTCCAATACATCTGTGTACAAGTGATTAACGTCATCTTTGTCATTCATCTTTTGAGATATTATTTGTAATATTTTTAAAGTCGAGTATATCTGACATTTAAATTATATTCTCTCTCTTCATATACAATGGATAACGTTACGAAAAATGTGCGTTAAGCCCCTGTTTTCGCGGAGCTGGGAACAAACTTTTTATAAATTTGTATTTCACAAATGCAGGGAAAGGGGGAGAGAAAGTTGGTGACGACAAAGGTATAGAGCTGGATAAATAGACAAAGCTAAATAGGAAAAGAATATCGTTAGTGGACAGAAAAGTTTAAGATTAAAGAATATCTTCGAGTTGAACACTTTGCTGAATATAACTTGTAGGCATGTTCGCTAAATGCATAGGGAGAGGAGGGTCACCATTAGGCGGACAGATGGACAGACAAGTTTAAGGTTAAAGAATATCTTCGAGCTGAACATAGCTCGATAGATAGATAGATAGATAGATAGATAAGCAAATTGAAAAAAGAGTCAAACAACATTGTTTTGGATACAACTTGTAAGCACGCTTGCATAGGGAGATAGTCATCATTAGACGGACAAATGGATAGACAAATTTAAAAGATTTAAATGCACCTTCGGGAATATGAATTTATAAGCAAGTTTGGGTTTTTTTTTCCGATTTTTATTACAAGCCTAATGGTATATAGATTATGTATAAATTTTTTTACACGATAATCGATGATATAAAATATATAATGGAAATCAAATATTTATTCTATACTTTTTTTTTAACTAACACCATTACACTTTGATTGAAACACTAAATACTAAAAGAACTTAAGTAGAAAAGCGAACATAATAAATGTCTGTCTTATCGTAAATTTTGAATATCTCTCTATAAATACTGATTAGACGACGACGCAAACACCTAAGAGCTTAATTGATATGGCTTTGCGGGGAAAACTTATAACTCCATTCTACAGTATATTATTACATAATGGTGTTTGTTAAATAGTTTTTAGCGTTTTTTTTTTGTTTCATGGAGACATAAAAATAGAAGAAATAACTGATAGTTTAAAATTGTTCGCAAGAAATTTGCGAATATTGCTTTACTTGTTTCGCGGAATTCGTTACGCACTTTAAAATAAAAAAAAAAAATTCTTTAAAATGTGTTCTTGAGAAGAAAATTGCTTTAATAAAAATATCAAATTTTTCTAAATAATTATATATCCATATTCACCATATTTCAATTTGAATCTGTTTAAGCTAGTAATAGGTACGTGTA